GCTTGTGTTCAAGGCTTATTTAGAATGGAGGGTCAGGGGGAGGCATACCCCAACTTAATTACATAAGCAAGCCTAATTTTTATTCTGTAAAATACTATATTGAATTTTTGTTTAGATTTGTTCTTTCTGACAGCCACCAAAAAACTACCTGTGTAGTTTGTATTAAAAAAACCAACAGTCAATACTGTCTATCACTGTTCCAAATCCATGGACATTCAAGGATACTTGTGTGCTGAGATGCTGCTGAACATCCATTTTCTTCAATTCCCATCAAGGAGTCTTTTTCATTTACTTTGTTTTGTTGAAGCAACAAATAGTTTGTCTATGGATGTGTGCAAGCATGTTTTTCATGTACATGCAATAAAGTAGAATTAAAATGTAAAGCAATGTAAAGGAGTTAATTCTCTGTAAGACTTCATTCCTGGTCCTAGGGAAGGGAATGCATCTTCCTTGGGACAGAAAGCAAGATCCAAATAATACAAGCACCAAAGGATCTCTTCTTTCATGTCAGGAAAGAAACATTTTCTACCATAGCACATATATTGCACCCCCCCCTTCAGTTTTCTGTAATCTGCATAATTAGCTGATTACTGCACAACTGGAAGGACTGGAATTAGGTGGGTCCTTTTATGACCATTATGACACTAAGTTGAAGGAAGAGGAGGAGCTGCAGCAGTCCTAATTTTACTTGAAATACTGGACTTGGACAGCTATGTGAGAACCCTGAGCAGCACAATCCCCTAGAGAAGGGTCCCCCTCCAAACTAGTGTCACAGCTGACTGGTACACTGCTGCTTTCAATCTTTTTTGGTCTTTGAATTTTGCGTTTCATCGCTTTGTTTTGACCTCTGCCCATCATCTTTTTATCTCCGGTTTCTTAAGTCGGTTGTCATTTATTCAAAGAGCTGAAGGTCAGATCCTCTGATCTGCCTCGTGTGCCATAGGCCCTGAAATCTCTTGTACCAGCCCAAGTAATTTCTTTTAGAGCAAGGCATATTTTCTGTCAGCTTAAAGCATATAATTAAATCTGGAGTCACACAACTTTAGAAGATAAAGAACTTCCTGTTCTGTTATCAGAAGAGCATCTTGTAAGGGGCCTGTGGCTGGAAGAAGATTGAATGGAGCAGGAACCAGAGGTGGGGATGGGACAGCCTAACTAGGGGAGGATTTATTTAAAAGTGGTTGAGTTACAGTAAGATGGGACTATGCACATTTGAAGTGGGTCATATTTTTATAGTAAAAATAAAACTAATAAAGACAATTTTTTTCCCCTCTGGAAAAAGGTGGGTTATTAATTCCAATATTTTTTAATGGTAATGATTTGGAGAGCCTGTGAGAAAAGGAAGAAATGGCAGTAAGCTCAATACTTAAAATGTTTCAATTGACAGCCAGAGAAGGTTTAGCCTTGAGAAAACATAAATGAAGTGTAAACAATCCTTACTACAGGTTGGGGTCTGACCTCAGTTAAACCAGTACATTGCTACTGTCTCTAAAAGGTAACACAAAAAAAAAGTAAAAACTATCTAATATCTGAGATTCAGCAGTTTGCAGAAGAAAACTACGTTTTTATGTAAAAGAATAATCACTGCAACAGCTGCACAGGTATAAAAGTTCCATTTTACAAATTTAAATAATGAGACCCAGGATAACTCTATACAAAAGTCAGGGAAGCTCTATACAAAGTCAGTGGCAAGGTGGAGAATTGAATTTGGAAGAGCTGAGCTGCTTGTCATTTTCTGTGCTATGAAGTGCTATAAAATGTGCTCGTGCTTATCCTCTCAGCAACAACAATGCTGGAGTTTTAAAGAAAGGCTGACATACCCAAACTACATGTATACAGAAAAACCTCAGGAGGAAGGCAACATTTCCCTTTAAAATTGCTTCTAACAATGCCTCAGTATAATTACACAGGCTCCAGACTGAGGTTTGGAAGAATGTTAACTCTCCTGTCAATTAAAAACCTCCTTTTGTATCCAGCCAATGGGTGGGGTGCCACATTTTAGAGTACAGCATTCAAGTCAAAACCCCAAAACCTCCATCCAAGGTTTGGTTTGAGTCCTGCAGCATAAACACAAACCACACGGTGTTAGAAACACAAAAATGGATTTATAAAACTGCTTTTAAAAGTAGGAAATGAGTGAAAAGCTGATTAGAGCGAAGTGTGAGAAACAGCAGAACTCTGCCTGTTGTAGCAACTTCTACATTAATGGCAGTGCAATTCTGTTGCAATTGCAGTTGTTTCCTAAAATCATTACTCCATGTGTCCATATCCTCCCTGCAATACCTGTGTGCACTAAGATTGTTGTGAAAGGTCTTGCTGCTCCATCAGTGCCATTATTTGTAATGGCCACTGTAAACTGCCTGGTCTGCTGGATTCTCTTCCATACTTCAGAACTGGAACTCCATGAAACCAAGGATATTGTGTTAGTCTGTTAGTTCACTGTCATGGAGCTCCCATCACTGCTGGAATTGCCCATGTTTGTAGGAGTACTTTGTGCACTCCCAGATGCTGACAATACAGCTCACAGCTGCAGTTATGTCAGCACTACTAAATTAGGCAGTAGTAACAGTAGTTCATGCTTGCTTCCCAGAATTCTTGAGCAGTGTGCTTACTGGGGAATACTGGCTCATTCAGGGAAGAAGAAAATGTGCTTTCCTTATTTTTAGATATATTAATTTCTTCAGAATAATTCTCTGTGGAATCACTGACTCCCAAGTTCCTTATATAGCAACTTCAGTGATAAATCAATCAAATCCCTAAAATGTTACAATTTTATTATTTTAGAGTAAAACTTTTATAATTTTAGAGTTAGAACTTGAATACCAATGTATAATTCTTTAAAGAAAATACTCTCTTAGGGTACCTATGGCAGCATTCATGGGGGCATGGAATGGTTTGGGTTGGAAGGAACCTTAAAGATCATGTAGTTCCAAGCCCCCTGCCATGGGCAGGGACATCTTTCACTAGACCAGGTTGCTCAGAGCCCCATTAAAAGCATTCTCATGTTTTTCTGCTCTACTTCTATGATTTCCTTAAAATGCTGATCCATCTTTTTTGACAAACAACAATTAAAAATACTGTTTATGCTTTTTGTATTTTAAAACACTTTGTTGTCCACGAAAAGTCAAGAACTGAAGTTTGCCAGGAAGGAATGAAACGTGAATTCTACAAAGTATTTTATCTGGAAAAGTATGTGAGTGTTTTAGGAGGGTAGGAAAACTCTTTTCTCCCCTGGTCTCTGAAAAAGATGTATTTTGAATCCTGTGTTTCACTAATTTGATTGTAAAGACAACAAAAAAACCCTCTCATCAGTTTGATGCTCAGCAATACAAAAACAGAAGTAAGCTACATCTAATGCATCTGTTAACTTCATTTGCCTTTGTTTTTCTTTCAAAAGTGTTTTCTTTGAAAGACCCTAGTCAAGTCTGGCCACTTCTTATTTAAAGTTTTATTTAAATTCAGAGTTATCCAATGTATGTATAAAATTGTTAGTTTTGTAACATACTTTTGTTTCTCTACATTTTAGGAGACATTATTAAAAATAATTTTTTTTTCAGTATTTTCTCCAAGACGAAGTAGAACGAGAGAAAGCAAAAAGTAAACACTACTGTAATGGACTCGAAACTCCAATTCCTTGCAATGTGCCAGAGGTGAATCTGAAGAATTCCTTAAGTCTATTTTTATACTCAGCTTGAAAATACTGTGCCATTTTTGCTAGTGCTTGTAAACCTGAGTTTTGGATTACTTCTTGACCTTTTGGAATAAATATGACAGTTAAGATAAGCTGATGAATAAATGCTTATCCTGTTTGCAGGAATTAGGGTATTGGTCTCTCACTGAGTGCCATTCTCTGTGTGAAGGGCCTGAGCTTCCCCCATTGTACATGGAGAGAGTTGAGAATTCCTAAGAGCCAATATGATGATTGGGGAATTTCTGTTTTAGCCACGTGGATATGATGAAGCAAGGCAGAGAGGTGTCAACATTTAGCCCCTTTGACCTAAGACTGCAGGGAAGCAGATTCAGAGCTGATGTGCTAATAGCTTTCAGGATATGAGAGATACAGTTTAGAGGCTTTGAAGATGTTTAACCTACTTAGCTCACCTACGAAAAGAATAATCTGATTGCCAGCTTCAGGAGGATTGTAAGCCACTTTAGCAGTCCTCTGCAAAACTTGCTTCAGAGAGACCATTCCTGCTACAAGCAATCCAACTCACCAAGTGTGTGATTTAGCACTTCATTTTGGCTCAAAATCCTCATGTGCCATGCTCTGGTTCACTTCAGAGACCCGTCTCAGAGTGTGGGATTCCTTTGGGGAATGAGATGGGAAGGTGTGCTCCAACCACAGCGTTCAACCTGTGTGTTCAGACCAAAGCTGTTCCAAAGTAAACCCCTGCAATGTGCTTTGTGCTGAGTATCTGACACCCACACAACGTTTCCTTACAGACGGGTGTCATTGGGCCGGCTCTGCCTGCACACATCCATAGGCACAAACCCCTCAGCACACACCTTCCTCCTGCCTCTCTCCCGGACAACGTGGACTAAAATCGTGCTCCTAAAAGTCACACTAATTTGCCTTTTACGTGACTAAGAGACTGAGACTTTCTAGATCTTGGCAAAACTAAAAAAAATGGTTTTTTGCTATTTTGGCAGGAAACTCCATATGTAGAGAGATATTCCTTAGCTCTGCTGTGTTATTTGCCAAAGCACAATTCCTTAACTGAATTAGATTACCAACCACTGTTCTGCCCTCCCCATCTTCTTTATGGGGAGGTTCAAACCTCATATATAACCTGCGATAGAAAAGAGATCAATTCACTTTACCCATACTCATTATGCATTGAATAACACACTTCCTGAGATTCATGCTACCAGTGGATGCAGTAACATTCTCTGTCTTCCAAAGGAAGTCATCAGACACACCTTAAGTTGCTAAATTAGTCAGTGCAGGCACAGTTACAGAAAAGCCAATGATAAAATTGAGACCTGATGTAAACAGCTGAAGCTCATGATAATGGGTTAGCTGGTGACAACAGTGATGTAAATATTCTATTAGCAAACAGGTCAGAAAGTGGGTGCAATTTTCCTCAGCTTAATCTACAAGGGCTGTTTACTACATACAAATAAAACAGTACTTCTGAGAAAACAGAATGGAATAAAATAATCCAATAGCATAGAGCATAGATTGCTACATTTAATCCTTCTTAACCACAATAAATAATAAGAAAAAAAGATTATTTTTTAAAGGGCAGGAAAAGTTCTAGTATTTTTTCTTTAGAGAAACTGTAAAGACTAACACAACATTAACAAATTAAAAGTGTCTCAGAAAGAAGAGACTTGACAAACTAATAACTCATGATGTGCTTTCCTTGAATCTCTGAAGCATCTTGATATATATAAATCAGTATCTCATTTTTCAAGATAGATCCTGCGCCCTCAGAAAGTGTCCTTAGCTCACTGGACATGAAATGAAGTGCTGCCCACCCTCTTTTTTTTCTTCTTCTGGCTAACAGAAGATCTCTCACCCATTTGAAAAATGATTATTTTTCTGTTCACATGCTCATCAGACCAGTCAGCCATGACTTTGTCACACTGCGGCGTGTTTTACTCATGATTCCCCTCTGAGGCTGCCCTGAGGCACGAAGCTCATGCTCATGGTGGTGGCTGGCAGGAACACATTCCAGCTCGCCCCACGTGGCTTCTGTGTGCTCAAGCACTGCACTGAGATGGCTTGGCTTCTTTTTTTTTGTTTAATTTAAGAAATCCTTTCTAGTTTCGCACCTTCCAACCCACGGGAATCGTTGTTCCCCCCGCTATGGGCCGGGTCAGACACCCCCGGGGGGACTCGCGCCCTCTGCTGCCGCTGCAGTGTGACCGCTGCTGGGGGAAAACCCCTTGGATTGGGAGAGGATCCATGGGCAGGCGTTACACAATATTCTCTGCTGTAAAGACCCGCGGGTGTTTCACTGGCTTCCATGATTTCCAACAAAATTTTAACAAGGAAGAAATCTTGGACTAACTTTAAAAATGCTCAGTAGTTTCCCAAGGAAACTTGGGAAGGGTTCAGAGGTAACATGGGGGTCATACCGTAAAAGTTACAGTTTAACTTGCCCCGTGGCTGTTCTCAAACACTGCTGCTCCTCCACCACCGTCACGCTCTCAGCTATAGCACAAATCACGCCTCTGCCCCGGCAAGAATTGCATGCAAGAAGCAAATGAACTGTATCTTAAACACGGTTGTTGGAGTAACAAGTCACAAACAGCTTTGCAAAGTGCCATTTGTGTTGCATATTGTTATGCTGTTTAGCTTAAGTCTGAGGGTAACTAAATTACAATATATAGATGTTTGAGAAAGAATAAACAAAAAAAGTCAAAAAACCCCACCAAAACCCTCTTTATTTATACAGACATAAGTGTTGTCCAGTAAAGGATATTCTGTTCTTACATGGCTTTCAAAAAAAAAAATACAGACTGACGTAGTTGATGTTAAAAAAAAAAGTAATCCTATTTTCAAGGCTCAAGCCCATAATTTGACTAGAAAGTGCTGGAAATTACAATGTACAATTTCACCAGCATTTGAAAAGGAAAAGCTTTTGCTGTTTCAGTGCTGCAGTGGGTCAGAGTTTTCAACAGCATGGTGTGCACATGACAGAACAAATAAAACACCACAGGGAGCATAACTTGTATGCAATACTCGATGTTTTATCATAGAGATATTAAGAATCCAGCCCTACCATGAAAAAAGCAGAAACAAAACCTAATATTGGCCATACCTTTGGTGGGAATCCTCCTCCATACGCTGGCCAGCTACAGAAATGTGCCACAGAGGTTCCTGTTCTGGCCAGAACAATGCTCCCTCACCTCTGGGGATCCTCAGCAAAATGAGGTGTCAGGTAGTGGCAGCAAATTGAACAATAATAGAGTGGGCCCCCCCTGAAAAACAAGCAAAAAACCCCCACCATATTGACTTTTAGAAATTATTACATTAAGCTATATTTAATCTACATATGATTCTTCAAAATAAAGAGCTGTATTTTGGTTAAGTCAATTGCCTTTGGAAGGGAATTGTTCATAATCTGACTTGGTTCAGTTTAATTTTGCAGATTTCTCTTCTCTTAAAGATCTAACATGGCTTAACTGTTTTGTTAATTCAAGTCAATACTCCCCTTGCCTTCACCAAAGGAGTTCTCTATTTCACACTCCAGTTTTGTATAAAGCTCTGTCTTGGTAAAGTATTTGTAGAACTCGTGTACATTCCTTGTTGTGAACTATTTCCTTGGGTAGCAGTGAAAACATATGTTCATGTCTGACCAAAACTGACTGTTTTTACAGAAGTTAAAAAAAAAACAAAACCAAACATTTTTTGAAATTTCCTGTTTTAATTATTGAAGGAGATTTTTTTTCCTTCCCAAAATATATGCAGAGTTGGAAAATAATCACATATTCCATATATAGTTATATTCCATAACCACTGTTTAAGGAAAAAAAGGATTGTCTTCATCCATATATATATTATAGAACTCTGGGTCTGGGAAAGATCAAGAACTTGATTCAAATGAAAAAAAAAATACACTCAAAAAAACCTCATCAGCAAAACCAAAACAGTTTTGGAGGGAGTAGATTCCTGGAAATATGTCCACACATAAATAACTTATTCACGTCAGAAATTCCAGTGAACTTTAATCCTCATGTCAGCAGGTGTTGCATGGTAAGGATTTCAGATGCTGCAGATAAAGAAAAAACTGAAAAACTCTTGTTTTCCATTCATCTGGAACCATCATTCACGGCTACATAATTCTCTTGATCAGTGAGGTTTTGTTTCCTCTCCAAAAATTTGTTTAGAGTTCAAGACAAGTCCCTTTGCTTGTTTGGCTTCATAAGCTTATTCAAGATTTTATAAGGATGTAAAAAAAGAAGTCCGTGTTTGCTCAACAACTTCCTTGTTCTAACACAAAATTTACTTTGTTTTCTGAGAGTTTGATGGGCAGGGTATTTGTATAGACATTTTAGTAATTAAACTTTACCTGATGCGATTTTCAGGCTCCCATTTGCAGTCTGTATTACGTCTGAAGCATTCCCTAAGCAGTCAGCCCATCAGCAGAGCTCCCAGCAGGCCATCCTCTCCAGGTGAATGGCAATCCAAACAGCAGGCTTAGGAAAATCAGCAACATGATTTATATAATACCTATAAATCAAATACCTATAAATCAAAAGGATTAACATCATGCTACTACCAGCCAAAAGATGAGAATGATCATACCGCTTGCTTTCTTAAGCTGCTTAGTGTTCAAACAACTGTAATTTGGAATTGGATAAGCCTTTCTCCCATTTTTATGGTGCATTTCATGGTTTATGATCTACAGATGAAACTGTTCTTCCATGCCTGATCTTTTTTACTCTGTTTCTCTCACGTCCCTTTAGATCCTGCAGTAAGCAAAGGCCCAATTTCACACTGAGTCCTGTGGATCTTTTAAATGCCATTCTATCGACTTTAGCATTAACTATTTAACATCTGACTGCTACGATTGACTTGTCACACTTAGTCTCTAGAATCTGAGATCAGTGGGAGGTAATTCACCCTTTGGAGCTGGGAAAAGCCTCAAGGCAGAGTTTCAACAATTTATATTCACAGTCCCTCCACACTAATTAGACTGGAGCAGTTTTTAATACATTAATGTATTAATATGTTTAATAATTAATGTTTCATGCCACACCAGGTCAAGGAACTTTCCATCAGCATAACTTCAGCTGATAAACTACAATTTGGCTGCATTCCTTCCAGTCATGATTAGTGGTATTTTAATCTGTATAATATACCTGTTGAAACCTCCAAAGCTTTTCTCTCTGCAGTCCTACCACACAGGCCACACCAATTACCACAGTATTTCTGGGACATATGTATAAGACTGGTCAGCTGCACTATTGACATTGTCATCACTAATACTGCTGGAAAAAAGGATGTGGAATCCTAGAATATCCTGATTTGGAAGGGACCCACAAGAATCAGTGAGTCCAACTCTTAGCCCTGCACAGGACACCCCAAAATCCCACCATGTGCCTGAGAGCATTGTTTTAACACTTCCTGAGCTCTGTCAGGCTTCGTGTGTGACCAATGCCCTGGGAGCCTGTTCAGTGCCCAACCACCCTCTGGGGGAAGAACTTTTTCCTAATATCCAACCTGAACCTCCCCTGGCACAGCTTCGTGCCGTTTCCTCGAGTGCTGTCACTGGTCTCCACAGAGCAGAGCTCAGTGCCTGCCCCTCGTGAGGGAGCTGCAGACCACGGTGAGGTCTGACCCCAGTCTCTTCCCGGCTGAGCAAACCGGGTGCCCTCAGCCGCTCCTTGTGGGGCTTTTCCTCCAGACCCTTCACCATGTTCATTATCAGAACACCAACTGCGTCCACTGCCAGAGAGGGGGAAACCCAACCCCTCTCATTTGGGAGAGCACTGCAGGGAGCTGCAAAGCGGCCGTTCCGTGGGCACGGTGTGTGGGACACGCTGCCCGACCAGGGAAGGTGGTTATTGCGGGTCCCAGGGGAGATGTCCCCGCCCGCACCGGCCGCTGAGAAGGGAATGACAGCGCAGCGTCCCTTCTGCCGCCTGCTCGCTCAGGGGCTGTTATCGGGCAAAAGCGTTTTCATACACGTACTTTGTGGGTTCCAACACAAGGAATCCGAAGTCCCAGGGTTCATAGATTCCCCTCATCGCTAAGCGTAACCCTCCCTACCCCTCAGCGTCCAGGGCTCCGCCCCCGTTCAGGACCCCGCCCCCTCCGCCAGCTGCGTTACGTCACTGGGCGGGACGGCTCCCGCCAGCGCGCTGCCCATGTGAGGTGGCTTCCGGGAGAGTCAACGGCAGCCTTAAAGGGCCGGAGCGCCCCGCTGCCCGGAGCGGCCCCCCCGGCCGACGCGGGCCCGTTCGTCTTGGTGTCTGCACACCCACCCACACGGAGCGCTCTGGGGCGCGCTCCGGCCCGCTGGGGGCAAAGTCGCGCGCGGGGGGGGGGGGGGGGAAAACAGGCAACCAGCCAATCAGCAGCAAAGCGCTTCCCAGCCGGCACCAATCAGAGGCGCCGATCCCCAAAGCGCGCGCGGCGGGCCAATGGGAAGCCCGCGCTGGCCGAGCCCAGGCCGGGCCTCCCCGGGGCTGCACCTGCGGCCTCCCGCCAGCAGGGGGCGCGCGGGGGGCGGCGGCGGCGCGGGGGAGGCGCTCCCGCCGCTCTCGCCGTTCCCGCCGCCGCCGCTGTCGCGCCCGCCCCGCCCGCCCCGCCTCCCGCTGCGCTGCCGCGGCCTCACAGCAGGTACGGGCGGGGGGACACACGGACACACACCCCACATACAGGCACCGCTACCCTCGCGGGACCCTCCACCCCGGCGAGCGCGTGGTCTCGCCCCGGGCGGGGGGAGCCGCTCCCGCCCGCCCCGTCCCCGCGGTGCTGCCGCGCCCCGCCGAGGTGCGGCCGCGGGTCGGGCCGTGTGTCCCCCCGGGCGGGCCCCGGGCCGGGCGGGTCCCGGGAGGGCCCCACGGCGAACAAAGGCGGCGGGCGGGCCCCGCGCCCCGGGGGGAGCGGGACCGGCGGGGCGGGAGCGCTCCTGTTGCGCCGGGGCTGGAACCAACCCGGCGGGGCCGAGCGCTGACAGCGGCCGGGCCCGGCCCCTGCCCGCGGCCCCCCGCGATGGGACTGTGGGGGTTTGGGCGCTAAAGCAGCAGCGCGGTGATTTCTCTGCCTCCCCGGCCCGGGGCAACCGTGCCCCGCGCCCGCTGCTCGGGCGGCCCGCGGTGTTCTGGTGCGGAAAGTCAGAACTGTATTGCAGGAAGTGGAAAAAAACGCCAAACCAAACCAACCCCAGAAACAAAACAGGCAGCGAAACTCAAATATTGTCGATTGCGGCCGTCAGAGTTGGTTAGCAAAGGTCATCTCGGTGTAAATCCTGGGGGTGGATCTGGATTTGTTGGTAAGATGCTCCTTCTTCAGCTTGTTTTTTGGATCTGTTCTGTATTAAAATATCTGAAGGAACTGTAAACTGAAGTCTTCCAGCCCTGCTCCTTAATTTTCCTGCTGGGGAAATGAAGTGACTTCACAAAGCGTCTTTGTTCTCTCTTGTTTCTTACGTGAATTTAAGAAAAAGTGTAGCAAAGCAGTGAAAATTGAAAGCAAACCTCGAACAGTATCTTATTATTTTGTGGGTAGGGAGCGAGTGGGAGGAGATGCAACTAAATACTGAAGGTAAATAAAGAGCGGGGAATGAATAGGTGTTAAACCATTGCTATATATTCAGTTCCATTTTATTCAAATATTTCCTTTTGAATACAGAAAAGTTCGTTTCTCTCTTCAGAAATAAAAACTGTGTTATTAAGTGGCTTTTTGAGCTGACATAACAGAGTTCTGTGATTGTGACCAGAAGTATTAGATGAAGCAGAGGAGTTAACTCAGAGCTGTTGGAACGTGTGTTGTGTACTGTTTTTCCTGTTTCTCCCCCAGCATCTTGCATGCTTGAAGTGTCTTATATAACAGCCCAGTGATGCATGAACATGAACATAAAATCTTTTGTGCTTTTGCTGTCTGAGGAAGCTGTTTCTATAAAGATTTTGCGTTAAGATCTCTATTTTGCCTTCCTTATTTTGGTGCCAGTCCAAGTCTGGTGAGCAGTTTTCAATCTCTGTAAGGCATGCTTTAATTTGCACTGTAGTTTATTATCTGTAATTACGTGTTCAAACTGTCAGAGGATTAGGATGGGCAATAAAATGGCTTTTGACAAGTCTGCTTTGGGTCAGGCTTATTCTGTGAGGGGCAGGTGCTTGATGGGCAGGTGGATTCTTGGCTGGGTTGGAGCTGGTGGTAGTGGAGATGTTTGTGTCAGTGGCATCTCTCTAGGAAGCAGTTTGGGTGTAGCTGCATTTGTGCCACTTTTCACTTGCCTCTGCCAAGGCACAGGCCTGCTTTCCTGTGCCCCTGGGGTGGGAATTACATGTAAATAGCTTTTGGATCCAGCTGCCTGAATGCATTATGCTTATTGCTGCTGCTGCTGGTGCAGGAGGTACCAGCAGAGAGAGGCTTTTACTTCTTATAGGTGAAAGGGATTTATACTGCCTGCCTTTTGGGCATATATTGACTCCTGCTGTTCTGTTTCGGTCTTACTCTTCTCTTTGCAGTATCCTCTTTATTCTAGGACCCAGGGTGTAACTTCTCTCCTCTGGAGTGCAGTTTTCCTATATGGAAACATTGGTGAACTGTTTGTGGTTTTATTTTATGCACAGGCTTCTGCTTTCACAGCTTTTCCCAAGTTTTGATGTAGGATGGTGTAGATAATTTCTGACTGAATGGATTTAATATTTTGGGTTTGTTACCTTCTGACTCTGTAGGAAGGGCTGATGTTACAGAAAGAGGTCTCTTTGTTCGCAGTGGTTTCCACTAGACTTGCACCCCTGTCAGGGTTCATAATTCAGCTGAACCATTGAGGCTGGTAGAGATCTATCAACAGCAATCATGACAAAAATTTCAGTGTGCTTTGTACTGTACAATGATCCAATTTGAGATTTCTGCAACCCAGTAATTGTGTTAATAGTGAACTCAGTGATGCATGGCAAGAGGATACACTCCTCTATCTTAAAAGAACACATCTGTACACTGCACTTGTTTTTGAAGTTTTAGCTCTGTGGAGAGGGAAGTGCAGCCAGGACCACTGGCTTCCAGTTGTTTTTAGCATTTAGGCCTGAAGGTGCAGAGAATACTTGTTTGAAGTATTTGTAATAACTGGAGCCATGAATGTCTATAACAAACAATAACTGAGTTATTTGGCCAGCTGAAGGTTATTCATTCCCAGGGGTGGTAGTTCTGGTCCCTAAATGATGTTATGCATTTTTCTGCTGCTCTCCATTTATCTCCAAATAAGTGATCTGCTAAATGTGTGCAGCAGGAGAAAGGATCAGTCCTGCCCAGTTCTCTGTCCTTTGGGCCTGAATTTTCAACTGGGGGAACTTGTGTGCATGGCAAACTGTAGATGCTTGTTCTCTGGACAAGCTTTACACAGTGTGACCTTGCTTTTTAGAATAACCAAGCCTGTATTCCTTCTGCAGAAAAACTTGGTTCTCTGCATTCTGTTTGAGTTTATTCACTTGTGTTCTACAGATCAATCTTGGCTTTGCAAGATAGTCTGGCAATTGTTGCATTCAAACCCCTTGTGCCTGAATGTGGCACGTGACACTTGGTAAATATTGGGAATGTTCTTTAAAATGTATCTTGAATGCCTCAGAAGTGCCAAAATACAGAACACAAGGGAACTGTCTTGCCTTGTGCTGGAAGGAAAGCAAATAATTGGTGAGAGGCATAAGTGGCTTTGTGTAACAGAAGTGGAGGGATTCCTGTCCCCCTGAGCTGGCACAAACCTGTTGTCCTTCCTATCCCCTGTTTGTGTAGCTGGACCAGCATCTGTCACAGAAGGTGTCATTGGCTCCTGGCAGTGGACTTTCTGTCACTTGGCTTCTCTGAAACTTGATGAGTTGAAGCCTGTGATAAAGATAAAACAGTATAAATTGTTCTTTAACATGTTTGGATTTAGGCAGCTCTTTTTTTTTTTTTATCTCTACTAGGTTTAGTAAATGGAGCTTGTCATGGCCACATAAGCAGTTGGAGAAATACTGCATTTAATGCACAATCAGTTCTGCCTCTGACCTTAATTACTGATACATTAGTTTGCTTTCTTTTTTTTTTTTCCCTTCAGCTCACATACATTTTTTTCCTTCACTTAGCTTGTGCCTTTCAGGGAATTGCACAAAGAGTAAAGCAACAGTACAGGTTTTGCTTTTCTGGTAATAGTTACAAGCCACAAAGCAGCATTTAGACTGTTTAAATGTATGTAAGTACATATGTTTATTTGTTTTAAATTCTGTCCCTGCAAATGGAGGAGAGCTGTTGCTAAGTAGGTGGTGTTTTTTATCTTGGAAAGTGAATGGATGACATTAGAAGTCAAAACATGATTGTTATTTGCCTTGTATATAACTGAGTCTAATGTGTTTCTGGTTGAGAGGATCTAAGGATAATTTGGGTGAAAGAGATACTGTCACAGGTGCTATCTGAAACAATTTTAAGTCTTCTGCAAAATCATCAAATATTGGGGCAATGTGACTGTCAAAGTATTTTAAGAAAAGATAATTTTTGCCTGAATATCTTTTGGATGCAAATGAGAAGGAAAAAAAATAGAAAACTGCTTCGAATAATAAATTTCAGCACTCAAATGTGTTCATCACTTGCTCTCTATTCTTTTATATGGGGTGCCAGTTTGTAACATTTCCATTATCTTTATTGTTGTGGAGAAATTGGATCTGCACGTTCTCAAGTTCAACATGTCATTCTTTAATGTTTATGCTAGAGGTGATAAATAAACGTAGTTGTTACAGTGTTGGACTTTTTTCATTTCTTTGCAAATTGAGGTGGAGTTTTGGGGTTGCTTGAAATTAGTAAAGCTGCTCTTAATACTTGTGCAGATTGAGTGGCAAGGTATTATATTGTGAGTTGTTAATTTAGAGAACTAATAGCTAACTACACAGCTCACATGCTGTGACAGCACACTTCAAATAGCCTTATCCTGAGGGTTATACAGATCATTTTAGCTTGTTTAACTTGAGTATTTGTAAATCCAGCAAATTAAAGACACGAAGAAAAAAAAAAATCACTGTTTCAGACAAATTAAATTGAAATGTCAAGCTGATGATGTGGAATTACATTGAAGTAATTCAGT